CTCCAAGATGTTTTTGGTATTTCTTTTAGCTTCCGGAGACATTTTGAAGGAGTTTTCAAGAACTTGTAGCAATGAATATACAATTTAGTTTAAAAGTGGTAATTTTAAACTATCTTATTATGATTAGTGTACTGAATATTATTTAAGAATGAACAATTTATTTCATGGTGAATGATACCAATTGTAATTGGCGGCCCGATGCGACATCCTGATAACAGAGTATTTGCTTTAAATTGATATAATCATGTTATTAAGCGATTTAGAGGTAGTAGAGAAAGTTTGTAGTTCCTGTGAACGATTTTCATAGAGTTTCATACTTTTAGCTGGACGGCGTTTTGGTAAGTAGGCTAATAATATAAATATATATATAAACAGTAAGAAAATGTAGTAATGCAATATAAAACATGATAGTTTTTTCTCATCCTTAGTTATTTTCTCCAATTCAAGGAAAATAATAGTAATTTTTGTCGAATTCATTTCTGAACTCAACAACTATAATCCCACTATTATTTTATTTAATGCTTAATTTATCCAAAGATATTATTTTGTTACAGATAACAAATAACTGAGTCAAGTTGAAAGTCAATTCCAGTTGGAATTCTTATAAATTCTTGGAAAATGTAAAATCATTAAAGACTTAACGCCATGTACATATGTGCATTTATATATATATATATATATATATATATATATATATATATATATATATATATATATATATATATATATATATAAACACATAAGTGTGTAAATGCACACCTACACATGTACCCTTATCGAAGTATAAAGTTTTCATGACGAGATGTAATTTAGCCTTTTCATTTAATATCGAGCTTATGAACAGACGACAGAATATTATAAGTCGACAAAAAATACATACGAAATATGAACATAATCATAGAAACTAAAAATTGAAATATTCGCCTGAAATGAATATTTTTAGAAGTATAGATATGAAGATAAAAAACATTTAGAAGAAAAGAAAGAAATTCAAAAAGACTTTTAGGGATGAATTCAATGACTAGTAAAATAATATTAATTAATTAGATATAATTAAAATTTATGTTATCAATTTCTGAGATCACAAAGTTTCGATCACTTCATGTATTTCATCGAAAATTTACAGATATAAAATAGAATCTTCAGTAAATTTAAGCCTGAACTTTAGTGTGAATACACACACACACAACACAATTTTGAACAGACGCTGAAATGTACTTTTTTGAAATGCAACTTTTTACAGACACGGACAAGAAAGAGTATGAATGTAATGGATGTCTTAACGTATTAAAAAATTTGTAAACATACGTTTTTAGATGTTCACCAAAATTGAATATCATAAAACTGTCCCAACTTTTAACAATTAGAAAGATTAAGAATTAATCAAATTTAAACATGGAATATAATAACATCATAAATTAGTGATTTTTCTCTTTTTCTCTGATATGTTTTAAATTACAATTCAGTTGTATAATAAATTAATGAATAAAGTTGAAAGTAAACCGAAACATCTTAGAATCCAAATTCATGATCTCAACCAAAAACTTAACAATCTCCACAACCCCCATACTGATAATATATTTCAGTTTAGTATCTCAATATTGGACCGACTGGTCTATAGTAAACATACATAAAAATGGCATGTTTTTGAAACTAATAAATCGTAGACGCTTATTTACTAATCACAAACATTTGACTAAATTACGTAAGATAAATAGTTGACATTTAAATTCCTTATTGTATTTCATACATATATGTAGTTTCCGAAACAGTACCCGATACATTACATCCACTTGTAATCACAACAAGTAGATTTTTCGAAATGGTCAGTGTCAACGGTATTCGTATATATTGGAAATAAATCGTGGGAATAAAAACACCTAAGTAATAAATGGTAAATAACTTGAGTTTATAAATCCAACTAGCGAAAAACGTCCGGTTAAGTCGAATTATGTTTAAGCACATATGAACGTAATATACAAGCATCAAGACAAATCTCATTAAAATTTTAAGAAAAGGCCCTACAGTTCCTTTTCTGAATGACTTTCAAACAATGACGAAAGACTTGTCAGCCGCTAATCTATAAACCAAAGATTATTTTAGTTTGTTCCAAGTGCGTTTTGAACAACACAAACATGCAGTTAAATACCTTTACTTGTATATTTATAAAAATGTAACGTCCATTATCATCGAGAAATATAAACAAATGGAAAATTAAGAATACAGAACTAATTCTTCAAGTTGGTAATGTAGTGAACTAGAAAACATGTGGGGACAATCGAATGTATTTGAACACAAAATTACAGAACATCTAAGTAAAATCTGAGGACCATATAGTAAATACTTTATTTGTAAAATATCAATCAACTGTCTCAAACTCGACTGTTCCTTTGCAAATATCAGTCAAATGTCTCCGATTTTACTGTTCCTGTATTTCCATATCAATTGCTTTTTGTTCCTTTTTTTTCCTCCTTGATCTTCTCGACCTTCTACTGTCAGACATTCTAATCCTGACTATCATTACATACTACTCATGTCGATATAAGTTGCACACACCATAGTAGTATAGCTACATTAAACACTTGTCCGTTAAATCCGTTTGTCTAATTTATTTTACTGATACGTATGAATATGATCAAAATATGTAAAATATAAATTTGTTCTCAGAAGCCTAATAAATCACTTCAAATCCAATGTTTAGGTTAAACAACGAATCAATAAAAGCATTCATGAACTTTTAATCTACCCATGAGAAATACACTTTTACATCCATTTAAAGTCCAAAATGTTGATATTATGTAGCATCATGAAATGAATGCTTTTTAGTTTAGCCAAATAGTTCCAAGTATTTGAAGTTTATTTTTCTCTTATGAACTGTAGAGTTTTAAGATCTGATGTATTAGTCGAAAAGATGTTTTTTTTCAATTTTGCCTAGTATAAATATTTTAGCTGCTTTTATCATAAGATATGCAAATTAATAAGCATTAAGTTTATTGAACTCTTATCTTAGTGGAAAAAGCTTGGACCAAATTGCCAGGCGAAACGTAGGATTTACTTCAAATTCTTATTCTGAGATTTTATGAATACATTCTTCCTTTTTAATATTATCTATCTTATTTCGTTACTTTTTAAACCGCCATTAAATTTTGCGCAAATTAAATTTTAACATATTTCAAATTAATTTAAGTAATACTTCGTAGTTAACTCGATGCTAGTGAGCCATTCAACCGCTATAAACTACATGGTCCGATATCTATTCAGTTTTGTAGACGGATAATTATGTGAATGAATGGTAACATCCTCACTATACTATGTGGAGCTTGATCATGTCTTACAGTACGAGGTCATAATGTTAAAAAGTCCTAAACTGACGTGATACACAAGTACGATTTTTCCCAATTTTCAAGGATTACACAGTTGATATCAGTTCACGATAATAAAAAACTACCTACACATTTCACAATCTAAACAAAGCAACTTAAATTAGTTTCTCTTATTTCGTAATCATTACTAGGTAGCTTAATCATCAATATTTGTTTACAAACAAATTCCATTTTCAGCATATTTTTTCTCTTTCAGTAATCATATATTTTTCCTTATATTTTACCTACGTAATTTTAAATTAACACTCACCCATCTTACAATCAGACGTATTCTATTCGATCTTATTTAATAATTATATGAAAGCGAATAACAGTAAAGTTCAACACATCACTAACAACAGTTTACAAAAAAGTTTAATTTTCAGTTCATTGTGTTCCGATTATTGGAATATTGGTAATACAATACAATATTTTACCCAATGTATGTTGTATATGACAGTATGAAGTGAAAATTGGTCTATGCAAATGTGAAAAATATGCCCAAATAATCTGTAAGACCAAGATTTCAGATGATAATAGATAATGAATGAATGTAAGATATGAATGTCTATATAGACATATATGTTTATGGACAGACTCAATATTAAGCCTAAGAATAATTGTTTTTTTTTAAGAAGTAGTCGGTAAAAATACGTTTTTCCGAAAATTATTAAAACTACCACCCAGTGTTTAGTTCATTTCAACCTGATCATCGAAAACTCTCAATTGAATTTGTTGATCCAATACTAATTAAATCGGTTAATAATAAGTATTTTACTTCTATCACTAAAAATGTTTTCCAACAAATTAACCAAGTGGTTTTTATCATGAATAGAAGTCAACTGAGAAACTAGTAAAGATCAATGAGTACAAGACATTTAATTCATCCTAACCTGAGTATTCTAAACACTTTTCCCTCGAATCTATATAAAATGAATATTATTAGTATTAGTCAATGAATAGACAATAATCGGTAGTACAACCTAATCAACCATAAAATTCGGTTTTAATGTTATTTTCTTTGTGCACAAAAATTAAGTGACAAAGTGTTTTAATATTTTCAGAATTTCATTTATATCCATTTAAAATTCTCTAGACAACCTGTTCAAGAAGATTAGAAATGAATTAGGTAATACAATATCAAATTCGAGGTTCTATGATTTATACACAATGTGTTGTTAATACAAAACAATGATATTTTGCTAAGTTGAAAATTTTACCCAAAAAAGAATGAAATAAAACCTTTAGACAATACATACTATCATCTTTCATGTAAATCGATAAAATCTTGCAATGAACCTGTACAAGATTCATTTACTATAGTTTAAATAACAAATAAACAACATAAGAGAAGTATCAAACTAGTATGAAACAGTTAACTCAATTCTATTTGCTTTATTTCACCTTTTTAGTAGATGTAATTATCTGATGATGATAACCTTCATTAATGAAACATTTCCATACAAACACCTTTGATAGCTCTATTGTTAAGTATTAAGCGTGAAAGTCATAAATTTAACAATAATAAAAAATCAATTGGATTTAATTCAGTGAAAATATATAATTAAATAGATCTTATTCTCCTTACTTAATGAATTTCATGTTATTATTTCTTTTCTATCTTTTTGCTTTATATAGGTGTTAATTGGGATATAACTTATCTATTAAATCGTCGTTATGATATAGCACGTGCTGATGAAGAATTCCCTATCAAAATTCAACCACCTTCTGGTGATCTTTTATATAGTGTACCAGCATTACGTTTATTTCCACAATCAAAATTACCAAATGAAACATTTTTTATTCATTTAATATTCAAACCAAATAAAACAGCTATTCAACATGGATTATATTTATTCAGTATACGTGATCCAGATAATGTATTAAGACTTGGATTAAAAATAGTTGAAGTTAGTTCATTTAAAAAATATTTGTCTTTGAACAGTTAAACGATTTATGTGCTGTTATATATATATATATATATATATATATATATATATATATATATAAACCTTATTGATGTAACCACTAACACGCTTATCAATCATTTACAAACAACTAACTCTGGTGATAAGTTACTGATCATTTAGTGTTAATGATCAGAAGATAAAAAACAGACTAACTATTCCTTCTCCATTTAGATTTGTAAAAAATACTCTACCATGTTAACTTTTAAATTTCAATACAAAGTATGAAATCAAATACTCTGTATGAAAACATAATTATAGCAGTTAATGGTAGCTCAAGAAAGAAAATTCAATTTCCTGGATCATTCGTACTAGGTTTTTTTTATAAAAAGCATTTTTAGAGTTTGAACTCAAAAATATAGCATAAGCCAATTGGTATTGGACAGCCTATCTTTTTATTATTGTTAAGCATTGTATTCCTCCGTTGCCAATATTAAAGACTATAATTGATCGATCTCTATTGGTATATAAACACCCTGAGTGGATTCATTCAATACTATCATCTAGTAATATATTTTATATTGAATTTGGATAGTAGTCAGGAGTGAAGTTCAAAACGCGTGTTCTGTTCTATTTGGAACTCGTCAGCAGGATGTACCTGCATCTTAGTGTTGATATTCATACAATAATTAGAGGCCAGTACATTAAGCCTCAAACCCAATAACATTATGAATTGAGAGTTTTACTTATTTATATTTACTTATTTACTTATTTTCAAATATTTAAAACCGGAATCTCGATTGGATCCAGTAGAATTGAATATTTACAACTATAGATGTTATAGTTACCATTGCTCAGTACAACTTTAAAATGTCAATATACCTTAATGTATTAATGTATTGTTACTGAAAAATAAATATCATGCCATTTAGTTGATCTTATAATAATTATCTCTTGAAAACACCAAATTTATTTGAGTTATGTCGCTTATTATGTTTCTGAATCCCAACCATAGAAATCTTCATGTCTAGACACCAGTTAATAATCATGCAATACGTAATAACATTGACAAATTTGGAAAATGTTTTCATAGTGTTATTTCATTTAACTACAAAAATGCATAAGAAGAGTAATTATTTAACAATAAGAAATCTTTATGGCTTTAAATAGATTATTTTAAATTTGTTAAAATCATCCTCCTATGATTCATAACAGAAAACATAATTTTAAATGGACTTTTCACAATTCTGTTCATTTAATGACTAGTTATTTGATGATCATAAAAAATTCTTTCAAAACATGTACATTTCAAATTCACTTGGTGTTGTTTTTTTTACCTGGATCTTCCCATTGTTGTTTAGGACTGCAATTTATCAGTCTCTTATTGGCATATGTCCATTCTGTAAGGATTGCCTCGATATCGCCTTAATTCACAAGCATTGTAAGTAAAGATGGATGATGGCTAACAGTGGAATCCAGGACGCTCGTTTCGTCCTATTTGGGACTCATTAGCTGGATTTACCTGCATCCCAGAGTCGATGTTCATCTTTGTTTTTAAAGCTTATGACTTAAGGGAATATCGAGGCAATACGCACAATATGCACATATGCCAATAAGAAACTGATCAATTGCAGTCCTAAACAACAATGGGAAGATACAAGCAAACAACATTAAATGAATTTAAACTTCACCCCATTGCACAAGCAGGTGACTATCAGGACTAATGAGCTAACTGGATAAAGCGATGACGTTTGAAGCGAACAGTACTGGGTTCGAGTTTCAGAGTGAACATCAACTCTGAAATTCATGTACATCTAGCTTACAAGTCCTAATTAGGGCAAAACGCGCATCCTGGATTCCGCTGCTAGCCACCATCCATCTTTGCTTATAAGTGTATTTCAGTATACTTCAAATAACTATAAAAAGACTGAGCTGTTTACCAGCTTTCAATAATGAACAATTTGAATTTCATCGCACTTGATGGTTATTGATTTGCACCACTAAGGAGTTTCGAATTAAAACAAGATAGATGTTCAATACAGTTTTCTAGATGAAATGAGTTTATAGTAAAATATCAGCTTCGAATTGTATGAAATCTGCATAAAATCATCTTAGCAAATAAATGGACAGGAAGAAGTTATCTTTAAAGTTGGAAACGAATAGAAATTATTGATAATTAACTTTTTGAAAAAATAAGACAAAATTAATTTAAATTGTTTCATCAAGTATTTATGTTAAATGATAATACAACTGGTCTACAAAATTTAAGTCTTTACGTCTCATCCTATCATAATCTGGCTAGTCTCTATTGATTATTTAATACAACTCACGAACTGTGTGTAAAAAGAATGTGATGAGATTTCATTCAACGGGGATATCTTCATGTTAGTACGAAATGGGACTTTGAGGAAAGTGTCACCTATTCAAAGTTAATTTCTGTTTCAATTTATTCTATGTTACTACAAAAGATCGTCTTACACCCTTGAATGTCAGTCAATAGATTTTTTCGAAACTTAATTTAATACTAGATAATAACTTTTGGTGTAAAATGAATAGTCGAAATACAACTGTAACAAAACAACTGAAAATATCTAAACATTATTTCTGAAATACTTTTTTTGAAATTAAATCCAACATTCATAATTATTGCACATAATAATTATGAATCGCATTTCACATTGAGTTGGCATGTAGACATTTTCTTATCTAAAAACAAGGACTTATAAACTAGCTATGAGATCTAACACACAAGTTTGATACTGATCAGATCTCCTTAACTTATTGGACAAAAATCCATGATAATTTAAGGTTCTTATTAAAATTGACTGGATTTAAACGGATTAGTGATGTTCTTTGGGCTACTATCAAGTTACGATAACCATTAAGGGATGTCAGTAGGTAATATATATTATTTTAATTGTAAGCTTTGAGTGTTACCAATGTTTGTATTAGCAATGATTGTAAAAATCTGGTTAAAATCTTATGGTTCATATGTTAAACATAAATCAATTCTTTAAATGTTGTTTTACTTAAACCAAGAAACTTAACTCAAGTTTGTTACAATTTATCAAAGCTATAAACCTATTAAGAATGAAACAGTAACTTGATTCCTTCATTCAGATAAACATGAGATATAAAGTATGTTTTTGATGAAATTATTAAAAAGTTGTTTTAAGAAGGCCATTTTGATTTTATTTCTTAAAAGTGTTGTCAAAATAACAGAAAGAAAGAAAATGGTTTCATTTTAGGACAAATTCCATTTTTTCAAACTATTCTACAAACTGATATAACATAAAATGAAACTTATGTAGCCGTGTTTAAACAAATACAATAAAATCTTGAAGAAAAATTGCCCTTAAAAGCATTAAACTGTTATTCTTAGTTAAAAGGAACCGACAATACACTGAAATCAAAATATAAATAAGTAAAAACTTGAATGTTATGTAAGTTATTTATAATTGATATTTCATATGTTGATTGCACAAAACTATAAGAAACCAGTTGGTCTTACTCCAACTAATTTGATTACAACTGGTCATCTCAATACTTCTTCCAGGAAACATTCCACTTTTTTGAAGTTATAGAAATATATGGAAATGTTTTTACAGCGATTGAAAGCCATTTTCTGCTAAAGTATTTATTTAACTAAATAGTGTTCGTGTGCTTTTTTGATATTTAACTTCCAAATGGATTTAAATGTATACTAGCCAAATGTTTTGTCTGTGACGGCAGCAATGGCAAACATAAGCTAACTACAAAGTGGTGACTTTGAATCAATATTTTACTTTATCACGAACTAAATGACGCTAAAAAACTGAATAAGTTGACACTGACTGGAAGTGAGTCCTAATATAGTTGTATGGTACCTAAGAATCTCAAGTAAAAAACTATATGGGGTTATGAGTGCATCATGTTGAATAGTTTCAAGAGTAGATTTCTCGTGTTGAAATCAGCTTTTCTGTAAATTTACCTTTACTAAGACTTTTATCACAAATGTCTTATTCATTAAACGACATGGATGTAGAAGTGAAGTGCATCAGCAACGGAACCTTGATAAATAAGCAGATTGAAAAAAAAGCTGTTATATGTTTCAGTCTACATGATCCAGTGCAAATAAGTTGTACGGTACCACATATCAAACTTGGGCTGTTACGTGGGAAGTGAGAGTACGCTGTCCAGAACGGACCTACAATAATTGCGAAAGTTGAATAAGATCAAAGATATTTGTGGTTATTGTCGTCAATAGACCATGCTTCTTTCTAACACATTTCATAACATTAATTATTACGGAACAACTATATAATGAAGACTTGGGAAGATAAAATCAATCATATCATGCAAACGTACACACTGCATTTGTAAAATATGAAAACGATACATTAAATATACCATTTACTCTTCTTCCTTGAGTTATCCTTTACAAGCTTTCATTCCTGCTGCCACTCTGATTACCCTTGTATTCCTCTTCTGCTAGTAAGAATTCCACTTTCAATTCCTGCTACATACTACATAGATCTATCAGTATAAATGACACAAATCACACTGCTACATGTTAAGTCATAGACACTGACTGACTGATGTCCACATATAAAAGCACATAAAAACACAGATATGAATTAAAGTGTCTGTAATGAAAGCAGAGACACTCAAAAGTTATTACCAGGACAATTCACTTCAGGAGGTTGAAAATTTCACTCTTTATTATTTCAGCAAATTTAACATCATTGAATGTCAGTCCACACTAATAAGGATGTGACCAAAAGTGTGTGGTTAAAAAGGACTCATACTAATAAAGATGACAATTGATAGGGGGAAATATTTTCGATGGTGTGAAATATGTTGGATTTATCCTATTTCAGAATACCTTAGCATAATTAACAATGTGGTGGACGAGTGACATTTAGGCCCTAGCCAACTTATTGGTGCCACTTATCCAAGTATATGGAAATTTATTGATACCATGAAAATGGAACAGAGCGTAATATTTCATTGAAAATCGAACA